TAGCCATGGCTGAAGCTTCAAGAGTTCTGCAGACCACTCTCATTCCCAGCTTCCATCCACAACACAAAAGTCCCATATTTCAGTCACTCCCATTGAATTTCCGCAGAAACCCAATTCAGTGCACAGTCTCCACAAGTAACAGCACCAAAGCCACAGTGCCCCAGAAAATCCCATGGGGCTGTGAAAGTGATTCTTTGGAAAACGCTTCTGCCCTGCAGAAATGGCTGACTGACTCGGGCCTTCCACCCCAGAAAATGGCCCTGAAAAAAGTGGAAGTTGGGGAGAGAGGACTGGTTGCTTTGAAGAATATAAGGAAGGGGGAGAAGCTGCTCTTTGTGCCTCCCTCTCTGTTTATCACTGCAGACTCAGTAAGATCTTCTCTGGAAAATTTTCTGAAAGTTACTCAAATGCCCTTTTCTTTATTTCAATTTCATAAAATGATTTGGCTGCCAGTGATTATGTATTGGACACTGATGCTTTTCTCTATCTATGATGTTTGTTGTGCTTGTCTTGTTTTAAATGTTAGGAGTGGACTTGTGGGGAGGCTGGTAAGGTGTTGAAGCAAAATGGTGTGCCTGACTGGCCATTTCTTGCCACCTATCTGATTAGTGAAGCAAGCTCCCTTGAATCTTCTAGATGGAGCAACTATATTTCTGCCTTACCAAGACAGCCTTATTCACTTCTGTATTGGTAAGCGTTAAGAATCTCTTTTCCATGATTTATTCCAATGGTGGAATTTTCATGAGTCTATCATTTATTATGGGAAGAGTCTACTCTCAGGCTTTTTCTACAGCCTTTATATATCATTTCAGGACTCGCGAAGAACTTGATCGGTATTTGGAAGCATCACAAATTAGACAACGGGCAATTGAAAGAGTTACTAATGTTGTTGGAACGTAAGGCCCTGTGTTTTCTATTATAATTTTCTTCAAAGCTTTGTTGTTCCGTCATTTGTAACTTTTGGTATATACTATTCTCAACTTAATGTTGTGGTGAGTTCATGATCTTGTAATTGCTGAACTGACTATTTATTCCTATCTCTGGCGCAGATACAATGATTTAAGGCTTAGAATATTCTCCAAGTATCCTGCTTTATTTCCTGAAGAGGTATTAAACTTATATAGGCCAGTTGCATATATATA